GGGCAGGGAGATGGAGAGGGAAGATAATATGGGCAAATTAGAAAGGAACTATACTACTTTTTTTGGGAACTATACTATTTATACTTGTGATTTCTACATCTTAATAGTAATATGTTAAACTTTGGTCAGCCACGTCCCAAGTTTCATAATGTAGGAATTATCGAATTATCCGAACTTAGAAATCTGTAGTTATAGAAAAGGAATTTGTTTGAGAAAAATAGACTCTATTACTGATGCATCACCTGCTCCAGGCAACAGTGGCCCTCACTTCTGACACACATTCCTACTGTAGACTGACCTATGTTCTCCTCAGAGTTGTGTGTTGGAGCCTGGCCTCAAGTGTGACAATACTTGAGAAGACTTTTAAGAGGTAATTAAAATTAAGCAGAAAATTAAATTAAGTAAGGTTGTGTTCCTCATCCTATGGTGTTGATGGCCTTATGGTAAGATGAAGGTGCAGAGGTTTATCTCTCTCAGTTTCTCTGTGCATACACAGAGAAGATGCCAAGTGAAGACTTGAGAGAAGAGAGTGGCCATTTGCAAGCCAGAGAGAGCCCTCTCCAGGAACCGAACTGACCAGCATTGTAGAGGATACAGCAGTCTACATTGTAAAACTTCCCTGCTGTTTAAGCTGCTCACTGTGGTATTCTATTATGACAGCCTTGGAGTACTGGGACAGCATATGTGGCTTTAACCATAAAATCCCTTTGTCTTTACCTGTGAAGATGCATTTCAAGCTATGTTGTCTAGTTTGAAATGACAGCAAAGGAAAGGCATCCTGAACTGGCCCAATTTCCATGTGTCACAGACTAAATCATCAAAGTTGCCTGTCTGTAGTTGTACTTTCTTGTCGGAATGGCCAGCCCACAGATAATGACATGGAGACTTATTATTAATTATGAAAGATTGGCCTTAGCTTAGGCTCGTCCCACTAGCTCTTATACCTTAAACTAACCCATATTTTTGTTATCTATGTTCTACCGCATGGCTTTTATCTCTTTCCCATTCTGTGTGTTGACTCATTCCATGTCTCCGTGGTGTCCCTCACGTACCTTGATTATTCTCTTCCTCTCTACCTGGAAGTCCTGCCTAGGTATTGGCCCTTCAGCATTTTATTACACTAATCACAATAATACCTCTTCACAGTGTACAAATATCTCACAACACCTATCTTAAGTATTGAAGATGCTGTGTTATGTTTTGTTATATACCCATCAATGTAAATTCCATCCATAACATTGTATATTCAAAGTTTTTTTTTTTTTAAAGGACCTATAACCTGGTTTGGAATACAGTTTCTTTGGAAGATTATGACTGCCTTTTTCAAAGCTTTCCTTTTTAGATTTTTAATTGGCATGTTCACTAAAACAAAACTATTAATTTGCAAACATACCTATAAGAATATTTAAAATTTTCTTGAATGTAACACTGTTACATTCAAGGAATTTTTTGACAATTCACTTCCTTATTTTGAACCAGGATTTGTTTTCTGTATAAAACAGTGATGAGATGAGATTATTTTTTTTTTCTTAACATGAGTGCAAGATACAAATAAGAAAATCAAAGTGATGCTAAATGCTCAGTAGTGGAACCTGCTATTTGTGTCACCACTATTTTCATTTAATTGACAAACTATGGCTCTAGCACCTCATGGTAAAAAAGAGCATATGCAGGATTCCATCTAAACAAGCTTGACGTACAACACGGTTAAGCCAGACAATGCAAAAACTGATAATGGCTAGGCATTTAAAAGAGGCTCAAACTCAACAGCTTTTGCTCTTCCATTTTTCTCTTTAGTTGATTCTTTAATGTGTGAATTTACAGTTTCTGTTTCCACCAACCTTTAGAGAACAAAGGAAATATGATCCATGGCACATGTTCACGTCTCTCAAAGACATTGGCTTTGTCTGACTTAGTCTCATCTGTTTATTCAGGTTTTATTATTGTTTGGGTAAACTTCTACACCATTTCCACGTGGAAGAGGCAAATTCCCAGACTTCACTTTTTCAGAACTGGGCTGAAACTTGATTTCCTATATATATGTGGTAGAATGATGGGAATTTTTTTCATTAATAAATATAATTGCTAGCAAAGCCTAGAGTTTAAATTAGAATAAAACATTTGAGCAATCTTCAGTGTTAAAAATGATAACAATAATCATAATTTAATAAATTTTACTTATAGGACTAGTATAGCAGAGAAAGTAGATTTTATCCTGTTGAAATAGATACTGCCTAAGCCTCTTTTGCAAGAGGCAGTTAAGCTAATGCTTCAAAAGAAATAAATATGAAGCTGGGTGGTTGTAGCGCATGCCTTTAATCCCAGCACTCGGGCGGCAGAGGCAGGGGGATCTCTGTGAGTTCAAGGCCAGCCTGGTCTACAAGAGCTAGTTCCAGGAAGCCTCCAAAGCCACGAGAAACCCTGTCTTGAAAAACAAACAAACAAACAAACAAACAAAAAATATGGATGTAAATAATGTATTTGTTAGTTCTGTATTTTCCTGTTAAAATTTGGTGCCTGTTGCATACATCTTAGTTCTTTTAAGAGTGCTGCTGCAAATGTGGTTCAGGATCCCTTCTGCTTCTATCCCTTCCTAGTCATCTAGGCATTTGATATTGGAAAGTAAATGATTTTTGCAAACCATCAGTTTAGTATGCCTGCTTAATTAATTGCACAGCATTATTGACACGATACAGTAGCCTAGCAGGTAGGAAATCTCCCTGGAAACATTACATAATTACAGAAATGTATACTGTTTTATAGTTATGTATCTTTATGCTTCTGATAGCATTTTTGAAATTAATATTTATATCTTATAACCAGAGTTCTGTTCTAGCTTAATTTAAATTTTATGTCATAAGTGAGCCTGGTGTTCATACTTTGCTTACAGCAATGACCCTGTGCACTAAGAATGTGACTCTCAGGGAAGTTAGCAAGGAGATAAATGAAGCTCTTTGGACTCCTTGGTCTGTGGTATGTGGTAAACGTGCGGCTTTTCAGCCATGCTCTCCCTTGGAGAACCACTCAAATATTTGCATTCCCACAGTATATTTTTTCAGGAAATACTCTTCCTGAGACTGCAAGTCTGGTTCACAGACTTCTTCCTGAGACTAAGCCATTCCTCCACTGGAGAATATGACTTGACAGTCCCATAAAAATACTTTTAACAACAATTCACTTCCAGCACTTATTATGAATGCTTTAGAATTTTCAGTTGAGAATACTGCTTACATAAAGTTAGCTTTGAAATGTGGCAAAGACTGGTCAGGGAGCCTGTCTCCAACCACAGCAGCAGCAGCAACAGAAAACACAAACAAAACCCAAAACACCCTGAAAATATGGAAAAAAATGAAAGTTATGAGAATAGTTATATAACTTGATCCATACAGTGTAGGTTTTTTTTTTTTTCCCCCAAGACAGGGTTTCTCTGTGTAGCTTTGGAGCCTATCCTGGCGCTCACTCTGGAGACCAGGCTGGCCTCAAACTCACAAAGATCTGCCTGCCTCTGCCTCCCGAGTGCTGGGATTAAAGGCATGTACATGCCACCATGTCTGGCTCATGTGCAAAATTAATACATGAGTTTTCTAGATAATTTACAGATGACAAAATACTGTGTGCACTGCAGAAATGTCAGACTAGACCAATGAATGTCTACTAGGTGTATCATGCCTTTTAATGAATAATGTATTAGAAAGATAGTAGTCTTCAAATCTTCCCTCCCAATTCCATGATGATCCCTTAGTCTTGTGGGAAGGGTCGTGATACAGCTATCTCATTTAGAGCTAAGTACTCTACAGCCTTTTGTTCTCTGTACCAGTTGTGGATGCCTGTATCAATCAGCAGCTATTGCAAAAAGAAGCTTCTCTGACGAGGACTGAGAGATGCTCTGATCTATGGGTACAGTGATAAGCCATTAGTAGTGGGCTTAATATTATGTCCATTTAGCAGGATAACAGTATCGAGTTCACCTCAAAGGCCTATGACTTTGCCAGGGGTTTTGACCCAGCTAACAGTACCAGGCAAACAGTTCTGTGTTGTGCTAAGCCAGCCAAAACCCCAGCATGGATGGGGGAAAGGCTTATGAAAATTCCATTAGCTGGTCACAAGTGCCATGTCAATTTATTTTCTTCTCATTTTGTCTTTTTGCTTTTGATTTCATTTCTAAGAGATTTTGCCCAATATAGGATCACAAAGATTTCATCATATTGTAAAGCATATTACACATTTTAGATCTTCCATTTAGTCCATTGACCTGTTTTTAGTGAAGTTTTGTGTATGATACAAGGGAAGGCTAGTCTCATTGTTTTGAAACATGCCTTTAGGTGAAAAGATATTTTCCACTGAAGAGTCTTGAAATCCTTGTCATTGTCAGTTGATTCCAGACATTGATCTGTTTAATGCTTATCAGTTCTCCTTGAATCCATATCGATGCCAAAATATATTAATTACTGTGGCTCTGAGTTGTTTTCAGTTTTTGTGTATGATTAGTTCACATTAAGTATATAAATGAATGGAATTTTCTGTGTCATTTTCATATACACATATGAGAAAATTTCTTCAGATCCACTGTCCTTAAAACTTTCTGACCTCTGAAGATCCCCCATGGAAGGCCTCACCCTCCCTGGGGAGCAGAAAGGGTTTGGGATAGGGGGCCAATGGGGGGCAGGGGAAGAGGGGAGGGAGAGGGAACTGGGATTGACATGTAAAACATGCTGGTTTCTAATTTAAATAAAAAAAGGAAAAAGCAAAACAAAACAAAACAAAAAACAAAACAAAGCAAAAAATCTTTCTGATCTCTTCTTTCCTTGTTTATTAATCCTTCTGCTTTCAGACTACATTGTTCTTTTGTCTTCATTTGTTTGGCTTAGTTTACTTAACATGATGGCTTTCACTTGTATCCATTTTCTTGGGACTGACTTGATTTCATTCTTCTTTGTGGATGGATAAAACTCCATTATGCCTACGTGACATATTTTCTTTATCTGCTCATATGACAAAAGCACCCTCATACATCACCAAGTGGGAGTCTTCCAGCCTTGCTCTTTTGTGTGATTGCTTTAGCTATGGTAAGTAGCTAGAATCTCCACATGAATTTTAGGATTTCCCTGTCAATTTTGACAAAACAAAATCTTGCTGGGGATTGTGTACAAATTACATAAAATATGTAGATTACATCTAAGAATATTGTCATCTTAATAGTCAATCTTTTGTTCTGGGAAAGATGGTATATTTTTAACTAATTTAGATCTTGAATCTACATACATTTTTACTATATTAAATATACATCCCTATATAATAACTAAGACACCTGCATGTCTCCCTCTTCATTTAACTCTGCTGCCTGTAAAAATGAATGTAGATGGCAGGATGTAGATAATACAGAGGAATATGAACACTCAAAAGAATTTCAATCTCCTGTGTTTTCACAATTCCAGCACGCTGGAGGTAGAGGCAGGCTGATCTCTGTGGGTTTGAGGCCAACCTGATTTACAAATCGAGTTCCAGGCTAGCCTGGTTGTTACATAGAAAAACCCTATCTTGAAAAACCAAAAAAAAAAAAAAAAAAAAAAAAAGAAAAAAGATAAAAGAAAAAAGTCTCTGAAAGTGTTTGAAAAATAATTTAGAACCTAGAAGTTTAGTAGAAATATTTTTTGTAATATGTGCATATTAGACTCTCACATGGCACATGGTATGTTCCATGAGTTACAAATATCTAACATTGCTGCTGACTAAAATTCAAATATGTTCTAGTGTCATGTGTCATGTCTAGTTTCAATGTGTCATGAGAATCAAGTTATATAGTTTGTCACTGATTTTAATGATACCGAAAGTAAATCAGCATTATTACTTTACTATTAATGTATTTGAAGGCCATCCATGTATTTTTATTTATTTTTTCCTTCTTGCCAGTAACCTGATTTGGCACTTCCCAGACTCTAGAATTATGACAGAAATCTCTATACCTTAAAAATCAATGTAGTCTGGGGCTGGAGAGATGGCTCATCGGTTAAGAGCACTGGCTGCTCTTCCAGAGGACCTGGGTTCAATCCCCTGCACTCACATGGCAGCTCACAACTGTTTGTAACTCCAGTTCCTGGGGATCTGACATTCCCACATAGGCATACAGGCACGTAAAGCACCAAGGCACACAAAGTAAAAATGAGCCATTTTTAAAAATTACCTAGTTTTAGGCATTCTGATTTCATTTTGCTGTAGAAGTAAAAACTGTCAGAGGTTTGAAGGTGTAGCTGTAGAACATGCCTTTGCTCACGGCATCCCCTGATCACTGTTTCTGTTCACCTTTGAGTGCAAAGGGGAAATCTTTTTTTTTTTTTTTTTTTTAAAGCTACGTGTTTTTCAACGTCTTTTCCTCTTTAGATCTAGATCTTTAAATCAGTTTGAAACAGGAAATGTCTCTCTTCCTGCAGAAACTCATTTCCCTTAGGGTGCAAAAGTGTTGGCTCATCACTTGTCCTTAAACTGGGGAATGGTGAATTGAGGGGCTTAAGAAAGGGAGTGGCTGGCATGAAAGATACTTCTATTGTGAGCAGTTTCTGTGTGCTTATCTCACAGAAAACCTGGTTAGGAAATGGCTTAGAAAACAAATACCACAAGAAACAAGGAAGGGAATTGTGAAAATGCTTCCCTTCTGAAAGAGGGCAGAGTACAAAAAATTGAAGGTTGTCTTAAGAATGTTATCAAAAAATGAATGCTGGAAAAATTAAAGTTTGCAATTAGTTCAAACTAAGAAAGAAAAGTAGCTGAGTGGCACGGAAAGTGTGGCCAGTTTAGAAGGAAATCATGTTTTCATTAATTCATTTTAGGTTGCATTTAGAACACCACCCCATTATTGTCCTGTGTCCTCCCAACCTCTATTTAAATCTAGATTACACACGAGAGAGACTGTACCAATCAGTATTAACAAGCACTTATAAATCTCTCATCATTTCCTTTTGACCTTGTATTTTCAAGGCTAAAGGATGCCCTCCCGATGAACAGTGGTAATGTACACTGTATGGATGTGATTGTACCTGCCACTGTTTCAAGTACATGTTTTAAAGGGGAACTTCAGAATGTGTTGACAGCGGCACTCAAGGATGCACTAAATATGATACATTAAATTCACTTGCAAGTTTGCAAGATTCCTACTAGCTTACAGACACACCCACACTGACTTCTTATTAAGTGTGTTTGTGTTCTATATTTCAGAAATGACTTCTATAATGAGGAAGGAGCATGTCTTTTGGGCATTTGTATGTCTGTTGCTCAGCATTGTCCCGGAGCTTCTTAGTGCTCTGCCTGAGGAAGTTGATGGACATGCAAAAACCACAGGTAAAGTACTGCAAACTTGATCTTTGTTTGTTTGTTTGTTTGTTTGTTTGTTTTTGTTTGTCAAAACTCTCAATTTAGCATAAAATTATTATTTTTCATTATGCTAGAATTAAAATGTTTTTATTGTTTAAGTGTATGTATGTTTTGCCTGTTTGTGTGACTGTGCAACACATGTGTGCAGTGTCCTCAGAAGCCAGAAATCAGCATCAGATCTCTTGGAACTGGAGATATAGACAGTTGTGAGCCACCATGGGTGTGCTGGGAATTGAACCCTCATCCTCTGGAAGAGCCTCAAGTACTCTAACTGCTGAGCCATTGTTCCAGGCCCCCTTAGAATTTTTTTTCAACGAAGTGGTATTATTTCCTTAAGCCAGTTCTTGTATTAAGTGGGTTAATTTTTAGACTATCCCAAATCAAGGCACTCCAGTAAGAGAGACTTTTGTTTGTATTTTGCTTTTTGGAGACAAGGTTTCTCTGTGTAGCCCAGGTTATTCTGGAACTCACTCTGTAGAGCAGACTGCCCTTGAACTCAAAGAGATCTACCTGCCTCTGCCTCCTGAGTGCTGGGGTTAAAGGCGTGTGCCACCACCTCCTGGCAAGAGAGATGTTTTGTGTAAGACAGTAATATCAGAACTAGCTTTAGAATATTGCAAGAAGGAAAAAGCAGAAGGAGAATTGATTTTAGCTTTGAGCTAGAAAAAGCATGAAAAGGAAAAAGAACTATGTACATCAGCTTCAGCCATCCTCTCTTTCTTACCAGTATTTTCAAAATAAGAATGAGATGAAACTCTTGTAAGAATCTAGTTGAGCTTGACATGAAAGGAAGTAGTGTGGAAGTGAGTTTCAACTCCATAAACTGTGTCAAAAATGAAAATACTAATAATTGAAGAAAAAAAAAAAACTTGAGCAGGCATCTTAGAGATTTATATAGTTTCCCCAAAGTAAGATTCTGTACAAAACTATTGATAGAACTCAAGTTATTGGTAATGGAAAATATTAACTTTATAGTCTCCACATTATTATATCTTAGTTCTGATATATATATTCTCATCTCTGGTGAATTGGTTCAGTGTATTCCCTTTTAACAAAGGTTGGGTAAATACATCTTCTGAGCCTGAAACTTAGTAGATGGGAGGGAATAATGATGGCTGAGAAGAAAACCTTAAATTCTCACAGCTTCTGGCGGGTTCCCACGACTGAAGTTGTGACCTTGCTAACCAAGGTTGACTTCACGCTCAGAGTAGGCAGGGGTCCCACACCTATGCACAGCTTGATTTTACTGTAGACTTCAAGTTCTTTTGATCAGTGAGTTGCACAGCCTTATCTAGGTTTGTTTTACTTCTGTTTAGTTTTTAATTAATGTTGCCATACCCAGAGACACACAGCATGTAGACTCTGGATAGTAAGTAACCTGCAGGCCCTAGATTCACAAACAATCTCCAGGAGAGTGGTATTCTAACAGTCAGGCCATCCCATGACCTCGAGCACCCATGTTCTGCTAAGACTTCCCCCCTTTTTTGTTAAAATTTTTTTTTTTTTTTTTTTTTTTTTTTTTTGATATCCAAAGACACAGAGAAGGGAACTGAGATTCAGTACCAGACACTTTCATAGGAAAACGATTTCCCACTTTATAAAGCAAATTCTTAGAATGCTGTTGAGTGGAAATCACATTGTTAAATCTAATTGTTTAACCCAAATGCCATCTTGAACATCTCCGTCATTCAGGTTTGTGACATAATTACTCTTACTGTGTAATATACCTGCTATAACAACTTTTGAGGGTCAATTCCATCATTTGCTGATATTAATAGGAACAACTTAGATACTTTCTGCATTTTTTGTTGTTGTTGTACGATGAAGATAATACCAACATCATGAGGTTGTGATTATTAGATAATTTTATAACAAAGTTCTGGGAAATTGTTATTACTCAAAAAAATTCCCTGTCATTAGTGTAACTTCATAGACAGCTTTGAAAAATAAGCCTTTTGTGGTACACTCTCACCCTCTTGTGGCAAAATTATTAAACAGCATGTTGAACTTGGGCTCTGTTTTCCTGATCTCTCTGTCTCTGTCTCTGTCTCTGTCTCTGTCTCTGTCTCTCTCTCTCTCTCTCTCTCTCTCTCTCTCTCTCTCTCTCAAGATTTCAGTAAGCAAGATCTGCAAGATCTTAAATAAATCAGTTAGGGAGCAGAAAACAAAGTCTGTGTCCAGCTTACCTTTCCCTTAACTGTCTACTTCCCAGCCCAGAGAGTGGGAGTCAACTGCGGTGGACAGGTTCTCCCAGACAATTTACCTAATCAGTATTCCTCCACCCATACTCCAGGCCTGCTCAGAAGCCATCTCTCATGTGACTCTCGATTCTGCAAGTTCATGACTAACCCCAACCACCACAGTTGTCTAACTGTAATTTTATTAGTCCTATAAATGATTGGGTTGGGGAGACGTAATGTGCTTCTCTTGTAAGACCAGGACCTGAGTTTTAGTCTAGAATCTCTTAAAAAAAAAAAAAAAAGCTAGCCCTTGATGGTGCATGTTTCTAAGCCTAGTAGTATTGGGAAGACAGAGAAAGGCAGATTCCTGGAGCCCACTGTCCAGAGAGCAAGCCAGCCAGCCAGTCTACCTTTTGAGGTCCTGGCTAGTGAGAGATAGATAGTAGCTGAAGAAAGACAGTCAGGGTGTATGTGTACCCCTCCACATAAGCATATCTGAACACATATATGGACACAAATAAGTAAACAAATAGGAAACAGATAAATAAATGAGAACATTGCAATTTCTTTGTTAGAATATTAACATGATTTAAAATATGCCTAGAAAATGATACTAGTTTAGTATACACAACTATAATAATAAAATACAAATGGAAGATACTAGAAAGTAACATAAATCACATTTGTATGAATATTTTCCAAAAGTTCATGTTTTAAAATTGCAAGGAATTAAAAAAATGGATTTACTACTAGATCATCTATCTACAAATTTATACTTTGATTTCAAATGTTTTTATATAAAAACATTAAAATGATGTCCATTCATGTGCCGATAGTTTTTAATTTAGCAGAGCACTGCTGCCCTCTGGAGGAAGAATTGGTTTATGCCATTTAAAGCTGCACGAACCTTCTTCAGGGATCATTAATAAATTATCAAAGACATGGAACATATACAGATACTCAGGTTGTTACTTCCACTGAACTCATAATAATTTCACTTTTCTGTTTTAATTTTCTTCTTTAAAAATTGGGAGTGAAAATTATGTATTTGCCAAAATGACATCAAGAACATTATTCTTACCTTCTAGATTCAGAACAGCCACCAATGAAACCGAAGCATACATTTTGCGCAATGAAGGTAGATGATGGACCGTGCAAAGCCATGATAAGGAGTTATTTTTTCAATATTTTTACTTACCAATGTGAAGAATTTATATATGGGGGATGCAGAGGAAACGAAAATCGATTTGAAACCCTGGAAGAATGTAAGGAGACATGCATCAGAGGTAGGTGTCCAGGAAACCTGTGACACAAGAAAGAGCCCAGGTGGTTACTAGGCCTACATGCAGATTTAGTAATTTTAGAAAAAACACTACTATTTCCCAAGAAATCCCATTGTTTACATTTCTAGATTTCCTAGTCAACTGTTGATTTTGATTTCTTCGGGTCAGTTATAAAATTATGAAGCCTCTTTTTTTTTTAAATCATTTTTTAATATTCCGGATGGATTCCCTGAAATTAAATTTTTCCAGAATAATTATTCCTAAAATAATTTTATACTATTTCCCTCAGCACATCTAGTTTGTTTATTACAGCCTTTATAAAATTATTACAATTTTAGTGGTAATTATGACTTAAATGTATTATCTATTGGGTTTAATCAATATTATAAAATGTCCTTCCATGTTTTCTTTAAAATTACTCCCTTTCTTTTTTAATCTCCATTTTTAAAATTTAAATTAGAAGCAAGATTGTTTTACACGTCAATCCCAGTTCCCTCTCTCTCCCTTCTCCCCTGACCCCCACTAACACCCTACCTATCCCATACCATTTCTGCTCCCCAGGGAGGGTGAGGCCTTCCATTGGGGGGGGGTCTTCAGAGTCTATCATATCCTTTGGGATAGGGCCTAGGCCCTCTCCCATGCGTCTAGGCTGAGGGAGTATCCCTCCATGTGGAATGGGCTCCCAAAGTCCATTCCTATGCTAGGGATAAGTACTGATCTACTACAAAAGGCCCCATAGATTTCCAAGGCCTCCTCACTGACACCCACATTCACGGGGTCTGGATCAGTCCCATGCTGGTTTCCCAGTGATCAGTCTGGGGTCCATGAGCTCCCCCTTGTTCAGGTCAGCTGTTTCTGTGGGTTTCACCAGCCTGATCCTTTTCTGCAACTGGATTCCAGTTGGGTTCAGTTTTCAGCTGTGGGTGTCTGCTTCTACTTCCATCAGCTGCTGGATGAAGGCGCTAGGATTGAAGCCTTATTTCTTATGGTAGAATCTCCATATGTGAAAAGGGAAGGAATGCTAAAGTCCACTGAAGAACCTCAGAGGGGCAATGCAATGAGTACAGTTAACTTACCTGAGAGCTGGGTTGGCAGTTAAAGAATTGTTTTTCACATTGACTCGTCTGCACCATATAAACAGAATGCTCTCCCAGCATTCTCCCTGGAAGGTAACGAACCAGAGTGCTGAATGTCAGGCTCCAAAGATAAATATATTAACACATACAAATTTCTACTATGGGAGCAGCTTATCACTTCTAAGTATAAGACTTACCTAGAAACGAGTCATTCTTATTGGAATTTTAATAAAGCAAGAAAAAAAAAAGAATCAAAATTTTATCCCTGCCGTGTAAACTTTACTAACCTAGCTTTGGTGTTGATTTTACTGATGTAGGACTATAAAGCACATAATGATGTATTATTAAACTTCAGTGGATATTTTTACTTCGTAATCACATCATAATTTTATAACATTTTAACAGTGCTTATAAATTTTATCATTGGTAGTTTTACCTGATGCTAATACATAGTAGGGGAACTACAGGCAACAAGATTTTACACATTCCAAAAGCTGCATGGAAGAGTTTTTAAAAGGTTTCAACAAAAAGAATTGATATATATTTGAGAGGGTAGACATATTCAGCCTCACTTAAATATTACTCAATATACATGTGCATTGAAATATGACACAATAACCTATTACTATGTGTAAGTCTACATTTTTATATACTAATTAAAATAATTCTCAAGAAAAGGATGTGGGGGCTGGAGGTTCAATTCAGTGATAGATTACATAGCATAGCATTCATAAGACCCTGCATATACACCACCACAACCAATAATAGCAATAATAAAACAAACAAAAATAATTGACTATATAACCTATAAATAAAAATAAACTTGAGTCATGAAGACATTCTGTTTGAGGATATTAATGGGATTATATAATTATTCTAGTTTAAGGTCAAGTTCATATGGCATTATAAATGATGGCCATTAACTCACATTCTTTCTCTTACAGGTTATAAAAAGAAGACTGTAAAGACACCATCTGGAGCAGGTGAACTTTTACTTATGTGAAAATTGGTAGCATTTATCTAACACAGCTGGGTATTCAGTTTTATATATCTCTGCTGCGGGTTGATGGAATCTACATGACATCAGGGATAATGTTCCCTTAAGTGAATGCAGTGAAAACTTAGGCATCACAGACACTGCTCAGAAGGAAGGCTCTACGGGCCATGAGTTTTGCATCACAGGGTCTCTGGAACATTTGTTCTTAACCTGTGAGTCATGACCTCATTTGGGGAGGTCAAACAACTCTTTCACAGGGGTTGCATAGCAGACATCCTGCATATCAGATATTTACATTACAATTTATAACAGTAGCAAAATGACAGTTGTGAAGTAGCAATGAAAATAATTTTATGGTTGGGGGTCACCACAACATGAGGTGGTACTAAAGGGTCTCAGCAGGAAGGCTGGGAGCTGCTGCCCTAGAGCCACACAGGCTACTATTTTTTCCCCTTTATTTTTAGAACAATCTTACTTTATATACTTAATCCAAGTTCCCTCTCCCTCCCATCCTCCTGGTTCCCCCACCTTCTCCCCAACCCACCCCCATCCACTCCTCAGTGGATTCCCTAGCACCTTCCATGGGGAATCAAGACAGTCTGTCACATCACTTGTGGCAGGACCAAGGCCCTTCCCTTGTATCTAGGCTGAGCAAGGTATCTCTCCATAGGGAATGGGCTCGAAAAGGCCAGTTCATGTACTAGAGGTAAATACTGTTCTCATGTTACTGGCCCCACAAACTGCCCAAGCCACCCAACTGTCAGAGGGCCGAATTTGGTCTTATGCAGGGACCAGCTGTCAGTCATGAGTCAGTGAGCTCCCACTTGTTCAGGTCAGCTGTTTCTGTGGGTTTTCCCAGCATGGTCTTGATCCCTTTGCTAACAGTATCTCTCCTCTCTATGACTGGACTCCAGGAGTCCAGCCCAGTGCTTAGTTGTGGATCTCTGCATCTGCTTCCCTTAGTTATTGGATGAAGGTTCTATGATGACAATTAAGGTAGTCATCAATCTGATTACAGGGGAAAGGCATTTAAGTTAGCCTCTCCACTATTGCTTAGATTCTTTGTTGGGGTCATGCTTGTAGATTCCTGGGAATTTCCCTAGTGCCAGGTTTCTCAATAACCCTGTGATGGCTCCCTCTAACAAGTTATCTCTTTTCTTGCTTTCCTTCTCTGTCCTTCCCCAACTCGACCTTCCTGATTCCTCATGTTGTCCTCCCCATCTCCCTCTCCCCTTCCCACTCCTCTTCTACTCTTCCTTCTCCCCCCACACTCCCAATTTACTTAGGAGAACTTGTCTATTTCCCTTTGGGTGTGGGAGAGGACGATCCATGTATGTTTCGCTTAGGGTCTTCCTAGTTTCCTGGTTCTCTGGGGTTGTGGACTGTAGTCTGGTTATCCTTTATGTCTAATATCCACTTATGAGTGAGTACATACTGTGTTTGTCTTTCTGGGTATGGATTTTTTTTTCTGGTTCCTTGCATTTGCCTGCAAATTTCATGATGTCATTTTTTTTTTCCCCCACTGAGGAATACTCCATTGTGTAAATGGACCACATTTTCTTTACCCAATCTTTGGCTGAGGGGCATCTAGGTTGTTTCCAGGTTCTGGCTATTACCAATAATGCTATGAACATAGTTGAGCAAATGGCCTTGTGGTATAAGTTACACAGGCTATATTAATAACATGCCGATAACGATTTAGCCCTTAATTGTCTCATTTTAGTTCTCCAATCCATTGTTAATCTCAGCACTGTGTGACTTAAGTAAATTTCATTGCATGAGTGTATTTTTCATGAGTTGTTAACAGTATGCAAAGACTGAGTATAGAAAGTTAACAATAATTGCCTTTGTCATTATTTAGTGTGCATAATTTTTTTTGAAGAAAGATTTTTTACTAGATATAACTTTTTTATTTAGTTTTTTATTTTTTATATATTTGAATTACAAACAAGATTGAATTACATGAGAATCCCAGTTCCCTTCTCCCTCCCTTCCTTCCCTACCACCCCCCCAACTAAAATCCTACCTATCATATGTCCTTTCTTTTAGTCTACACCTGACTCAACTTTCTGCATTCTTCCTCTTCTTCCCTTCTCACTCTCGTAGCTTCTTCCCCCCATGTTCTTAATTTTCTCAGGGGATGGTGACCCTTTCCCCTTCTCCAGGGGACAAAGTTTGTCTCTTTTAGGGTC